CCGGTCACTGGATCCGTGCTGGGAGCAGGGACCGGTCTCCTGGAGCCCCTTTGTGACCTGGAAGGAGCTCTGAGCTCTCCCTGGAGCCTTGTCCGGGTGAACGCCGCCAGCCTGGCCGCAGAGCGGAGCGGCTCCGCTCTCGGAACATCTCCGGGGCTCCTCTGGAGCTCCCCGTGCCGGGCACAGCCCGCGGCCAGCCCGGAGCATTCCCGCGGCATCCCAAGGGAACAGCCCTGTCCCGGGGGATTCGCTGCTGGGCAGCAGCCGCACTCCCACCCGGGCGGGCAGGAGTGTGCAGGAACAGCCCGGGGGGAACGGGCAGGGCCAGCGCCGGCCGGGGCTCCGGAGGGCAGAGATGAACCTACATCCCTTCAATCTGACCTCCCAGAGCTGTCCCCTGGATACAGGGACTGAACTGATCCCGGTATCCCATGGATACAGGGGCTGAACTGATCCCAGTATCCCGTGGATACAGGGGCTGAACTGATCCCAGTATCCCATGGATACAGGGGCTGAACTGATCCCAGTATCCCATGGATACAGAGGCTGAACTGATCCCGGTATCCCATGGATACAGGGGCTGAACTGATCCCGGTATCCCATGGATACAGGGGCTGAACTGATCCCAGTATCCGGTTGTTCTCTGGTGCTGGAGGAGCCGGGCTGAAGGCAGCTGCCCCCTGCTCTCACCCCAGCAGGATCCCGGCTGCTCCCTCGGGCTGTCCCAGTTTGCCATCCCGCTCTGTTTCCATCCCAGCTGAAATCCCAGGCTCCGGGCAGCGCGGAGGAGCTGCGGTGTCTGCAGGTGCTCAATCAGCAGCCCGAGGGCTCCAGCCTGGAGGAGCTGAGCAGCAGCCAGGGCTGCCTCAAGCTGGCCAGCACCATCAAAGCCTACGTGGCCACGGTGAGCCCGGGACCAGGGGAGGATGGGAGAGCTCCTGCTTGTCCCCGTGCCACAGTTTCCCCATCCTCCTCACCGGAGCAGTGGGAGGGGGAATAGCCAGGATGGTTCAGGGTGGGAGTGGGACTCAAGCCCTCCACGGCGAGGAGGCGGTGGGGCCCAGAGACAGTGTGACAGGGAGGGGGTGGAGGTTTGGAGCAGGAGCTCAGGCATGGGGAACCCCCAGGTCAGCTTTAAGCAGGAACTTTCTCTGTGGCACAGGTGACCGAGAACATCATCCGCAGGAGCGCCGTGAAGGGTGAGTCCTTCCTGGGCCAGCTCTGGGGCTGCAGCCAGAGCCTGGTCCTGGGAGCTGTGATCTGGTGTGATCCATGGGAGATGTGATCCATGGGAGCTGTGATCCCAGGAGCTGTGATCTGTGGGAGCTGTGATCTGGTGTGATCCCAGGAGCTGTGATCTGTGGGAGCTGTGATCTGTGGGAGCTGTGATCCCGGGAGCTGTGATCCCAGGAGCTGTGATCCCGGGAGGCCAGCAGTCCTGGGGGGATGTCACTCCTGGGGCACACTCCAGTGCCGTGAGCTGGGGCAGGAGAGGGGGGAGCCAGGATTGTCACTTGCAGTGTCACACACGTCCTGGGGCTGGGCTGGGAACAGGCCGGGGACCCAGGGCGGTGGCACACGCAGATGTGTTGGTTGATGATTGACGAGACATTTCCATCCCTCAATAACCTCTTGCTCTGGTGGGTCAGTGGGGCAGTCCCTGCCCTGCTGGCGTGGGGCCGGCTGTCCCCACGCTGTCCTTACAGCATCTGTCCCTCTCCTGCAGAGGCCTGGCGGAGCTACTTCAACACCTCAGAGGGGCAGATTCCTCCCAGAACAGCTGGGAAACCCTCGGCACATCTCACCCTCCGCCCACAGAGCCTGGCTCAGGATGGTGAGTGGGGCAGCAGCTCTCAGGACCGAGATCGAAGGGCAGGGAACCGGACGGAGGAGGCGCTGGGGCGGATGGGGAGAGCCGAGCTCCAGCCCTCGGAGCCGGGCAACCGGGAAGGAGCCAGAGCCACCCCCTCCCCTCCCCTCGGTGTGCCCCTGGCTCCCCTCTGAGCCTCTCCCTTCCCGCAGGACGCTCCCAGAGCTTCGGGAACCTGTCGCAGTCGTGCCGCCACGCCATCGCGCACTGGGGCCACGGCAGCCTGCGCTCCCACGTGCACAACATGAGCTACCGCGCCGGGCGGCTGCGCGTGGAGCAGCCTGGAAAGTACTACGTGTACTCCCAGATCTATTTCCGCTACCGCAGCGCCGGCCGCGACTCGGGCCCGCAGCTGGTGCAGTGCATCCAGTGGCAGCCGGCCCACAGCCCGCCCGTGCTGCTGCTCAAGGGAGTGGGCACCAAGTGCTGGGCGCCCGACGCCGACTACGGGCTCCACGCGCTCTACCAGGGCGGACTCTTCGAGCTCAAGGCCGGGGATGAGCTCTTCGTTTCCGTCTCCTCCTTGGCCATCGACTCCAACGATGCCGCAGCCAGTTACTTCGGGGCCTTCCGCCTCGACCTGTGACTCCCCCTGCGCTCCCCGGGGCTGGCACAGCCTCTTGTGCCCGTGGTGTCCCTTGTGCTGAGGGACGAGCCAAGAATGGCCCGGGGACGGCTGCGGCTCGGTGCCACCCTGCAGGGAAGGGTCTCTGAGGACCCACAGGGGACATCCCAGCCTCAGTGACACCTCCCAACGGCTCCCTGCAGCGGGAAAGGCACCAGGGCCACGTCTGCCACTGCGACACAAAGTGTCCCCGTGGTGACACCGTGAGCATGACCCCACCTCGGCCAGGGCTGCAGGTGCTGGGACCTGGGGCTGGAAGCACCCCTAGGGTGGCACCTCTGGGTTGTGAGGGTGGGGCAGGTGCAATGTCGGCCTCTGGAAGGGAAGGAAGGAGTTTCAGTCTGGGAGATGTTTGGGAGATGGTTCCAGGGAGGGCAAAGGGCAGGGCACCGCAGCAGGCGCCAGGCCTGGCACCGCACCCAGCACGTGGCACCGGGGCACGTGGTGAGCGAGCCGGGCTGCAGAGCCCAGGAGCTCAGCACGGCTGCTGAGCAAGAACCTCTTCCCACGGGGATTCTGTCCCCCCCAGCCCTCGTGGACAGCACAGTCCCCACCTCCTCACACCTCCAGGCCTGGCAGTCCCTGCAGGAGTCCAGCTCTGGCTGAGCCCGGTGGGCAGAGCAGGACCTCAGAGGGACCAAACCAGCCCTGGGGTGATGGAGAGCACCCCAGAGGCCGAAGGTGGGTTCAGGCAGGGCCCAGCTGGCTCAGCCCATGGACACAGCCCCCTTGTCTAACTCCCCCCGTACTCTGTATCCTGCTGAGACCAGGGGGATTTGCAGGCAGTGTGGGCTGGGCTCCCACGGAGGATGGAATAAAGCCTTGTACTCCAGCACGGGTCTGGCCCCTTTGCACCCAGGACAAGGCTGGGCAGGGAGGATCTGGGGGCAGCAGGGCACTGCTGGGGCACTGCCAGGGCTCCAGACAGAGCCCAGCAGAGGCTCCTGCTCCAGGGGCTCTGCGGCCACCGGCCCCACCACACCGGGGCAGTGCCGAGAGGATGTGTTCCTGCTCCTCAGCCCAGTGCCTTCATCCTCGCTGGGCCAGCTCCTGCACAGACCCCATGGAATCTGAGCCCATCCCAGCTCCTCCTGCCCTCCTCAGCACCGGGTCCCGCTGCTCCTGCCCTCTGAGCGTGGGATTGTCCCAGCCCAGGACACTGGGACAGCTCCACCTGGAGCTGCAGGGGACAGGCTCAGGGGATAACGGGGAGAAGTTCCCTGGCAGGGTGGGCAGGCTCTGGCACAGGGTGGATCCCTGGCAGTGCCCAAGGCCAGGCTGGACACTGGGGCTGGATCAGCCTGGGACAGTGGGAGGTGTCCCTGCCATGGCAGGGGTGGAATGGGGTGAGTTTTATGGTCCTTCCAGGCCAGCCCATTCCTGCATTCTGTGATTCCCTCCTGCTCTAAGCCAGCCTGGGAGGTGGGGCTGGCTGCAGCACTCATAAAACCTCCACACTGACCTGATTTCCCATGGCCTCGCCCTGGGGATTCAATCCAGACACAAAGTGCTTCCTGCAGCCGCAGCCAAAGACCCTCTGATCTCCTCTGCCAAGGAGCTGCTTTTACCTCAGGGTGTTCACGGCCCCAGCCTCCCTCTCTGAATAAATCCTGCGGCCAAAGGCTCCTTTTTGCCTCTTTGTTATTATGAACCAGCTCATTGCTACCTCCAAGCCTCCATCCCTGCCCAGACACGATCTCGTTTTAGTTTCAAGTCCCCAGCCTGGCCCGAGTTGACAGGAGGGAGCGGAAATCCACGCTGAAATCCACGTCACCAGGGCAGGAAAGCATTCCTTGGGACGCTGTAAATAAAGCACAGACACAGAGAGAGAGCAGCGGGTGGGGTGAGAGCCCAGCATCGCCCCTCGCTCTGCCCCAGGACACCTCACCCCAGCCCCAGGCAGGAATTCCGCCTGAAAAAAGAGAAAAACAAAACAGAAATCTCTTTCCTACAGCAGAAGGGCTCGTGGAGCTGCGGGATGCTCCTCAAACCCTCAGGAGAACGGGAATGCTGGGGTAGGGAGCAGGGGACACAGACCCTGCCAGCCCATCCCTTGTGGGGTCACAGATGGTCGGGTCAGGACTTTTAAAATCCATTTAGTGCAATCCCATCCCAGCTGTGCTGCTCGCAGCCCCTTCCCACGGCCCCAGGGGAGAGAAAGGGATTTTTCTCCTTTCCAGGAGCAGTTGTGTCCCCTGTGCAGCCTTTGGCTCCCGGCAGCAGAGCACGAGGGGAGAGCTGAGCCAGCTCCAGCCAGGCTCCTGCACAACTCACACTTTCTCCTTTATTCCCCCGCCAGCCAAGCTGGAGACATCAGGAAAAAATAATTCCACTTTTAAAGAAAATTCCTCATTCTGTGTCCTGTCCAAAGCCCGGCACTGTTCCACAGAACCACGGAACCAAATGGGTTTGGGTCAGCTCCCCCAGCCTGTCCTGCCCTTCCAGCACCCCAGAGCAGAGTGCATCCAGCCCTGGCCCCAGAGAGACCCCCAAAACCAGGGCCAGCAATGGGATATTGGATATCCAGGGGATGCCTGGAGCCCTCCTGCACCCCGCCCGTCTCCCGCAGGGAACCACGGGCTCCTCCCGGAGTGAAGCGATGGAAGAGCACGAAGAGCACAGGGCAGAGCTCAGAGCACCGTGAGGATCCAAACCCCGTCAGCCTCACGAAATCCCGGCCCCGCGGGGCTTTTCCTGCCTTTCCCACTCCCACCCTGCCGGACAGGGCTTTCTCCAGACAGCATCCCAGGCCGCCTGTCCCGCTGGAAACACAACCCATGGGACAGACTGAGTGAGGAGCTGCTGGGCAGCTGTTTCCTGCCCCGGGCTCCCATCCCCACCGGCACAGCATCCCTGGGACAGCTGGGATGCTCCATCTGGGATAACCCTGCACGAGAATTTCCCTCTGAGCACCTTTCCTCACACTGGGCAGCCTTCCCACAAGGAATCTGCTCATGGATCACGGATCTAATGGAAGCAGGACCACGTTTCCCAAGCTGGGACCTCCTGAGGACGGTAAGGTGAGGAGAAAAGGGGAAAGCTTTGCGTTTCTGCTGTCCCAGGTGTGCCACAGGAAGGGAAGCCAACACGACAGCCCCAGAAAGGAGCTCCCAGGGGATTGGGAAAAGGCAGCTTCTTCCCTGAACTCAGCCCCAGACCCCAGAACATCCACCTGGCCTCCAAACAGAACAAAAAATAATCATTTAAAAGCAAAGCTGCTGTTGGTGCTGTTGGGCTGAAGCAGCACATGAGGAATCCCAGCCATCTCCTGCTGCACAAAACCAACACACACCAGTCCAGGCATCTGTTCCCCAAGCAGAACTGGATCTGTCAGTGACACCTGCAGCTCTGAGCTGTCCAAGGACTCAGACGCCAGGGAAGCAGCAGAGCAGGGGCTGGATGGCTCTGGAAGATCAGGAATCTGCCTTTTGCTCCTTGGAAAGACATGGAATTCGTACCGGAGGGGTTTTGAGAGGGATGGAGCCAGATTTCACTCCCAGGAAACAGCTGAGGCTGGTGAAGAGCATCAGCTCCCTGGGCATCCAGAACCTCCCAGACTGCAGAGAACAGGCAGAGTTTTATCAACAGGAACATCACCTGGGCAGTGCTGGCACAGGGACGGAGGAGCACCGGGGCTGGTGGGGAGGGTTCCTGGCACGGCTGCTGGGAATCCTCCAGCTGGGATCCAGGGACAGCAGGAGCAGCGCCCGTGTCCCCGGCTCCCCAGGGGGACAGGGACAGGAGGAGGAGGTGTCCAACACCATCAGGTCTTGGGGAAGGGCAGGGATTCAGGACTCAGCCTCTGGGATCCTGGGGATGTGCTCAGGGCAGAGCAAGGGATCCTTGGGCATGGATGAGAGAAAGGGAGCAGGATGGGAAGACACCCGGTACCTCTTCCTGCCTCTTCCTTGGGGTTCTCCTGACAAGGCAGCGGCAGAGTAATTAACACATTCACTAATTAAACAAAACCAGCATCTTCCCAATGAGAAATTCGGCCCAATTTTAAGGAGATGTGATGTGGGGGGTTTTCTTTATTTGGGTTATTTTTCCTTCCTTCAGTATAGCAGCCTCAGCCAGTCAAACTTTATTTTTCTTTCCCCTATTTTGGCTTCCCAAGGTTGTGATTTTTCCCACGTGGACCCTGAGCCCAGCCCTGACCCTCTGCCAGCACCTCAGTACTGCAAAACCATCCTGCTCCTTACACACCTCTGCAAGTGCACAAACACCTTGGCTTTTCCTCCCCACCTTCGCAACAGCAGCTCCAACAAAAGAAGTGGAGGAAATACAAAATTCTCTAACATTTTGTTTTTACTCCTTCATGGAATCTTTCCAACGTAACTTCACAAAAGCAACGTAAATAAAGTCTCTTTTTTTTTTTTTTTCTTCTAAAAAGAAGATTATGTTCCACAGATCCCGTAGTGCAATTGGTTATCTGGTAGAAAAACAGAAAATATCTTCTTCAGCTCCATGGAGGAAAAGGCTGGAAACAGTTCCATGGTCTCAATAAAAATAGGAAAGTCTACCCAGGGTGGGTTAGAAAGTTCCAGGTGTGTGGGACACACAGTCCCTACAGTCTGCCTCTAGTTGAAGAGGATGGACTCGGGGTCCTGGTTGGCCATCTGTGCAATGTGCTTTAGCACATCCTTTTTGGTAATGATCCCCAGCAGCTTCCTGGAAAATGAAAACACGTTTTTAATGCACCGACACCATCAGAAGGAAGCCAGTCAGGGCCACTTGAGCCCCTTGGCGGTGCTGAAGAGTCGTTTGGGATTCCAACTGCCACCCCACAGAAAGAACTGCCCCCTCTGAGGGTGGCAGAGCACTGACACAGCCGGAACACCCCGTCCCTGGAGCGTCCCAGGCCAGGCTGGCCAGGGCTCGGGCTGGGCTGTCCCCGGTGCCTCTGGCAGGCAGGAGCTGCTGCAGTGCCCAGCCCCAGGGGATGGCAGGGCTGTCCCCTGTGCCCTGGGAGCAGGGCAGGCGCTGGCCCCAAGGCTCTCACCCGTTGTGAGTCACCAGGCACTGGCGCAACCCCAGCTTGCGGAAAATGTCCACCACGATCTCCATGGGCGTCTCGTCCGTCACCGTGAAGGGACTGAGGTCCAGGATGCTCCTGAGCTTCAGCACAGACGGGGAGCTCGGGGGCAGGGGGGGACAGTAGTCAGTGAAACAAATAATTGAGGTGCTCACGATCCCGTCCTGCTTCTTCCGGGCGTTGTCTGCAAAGGGAAATGTTCGATTCAATACCAGCACTCCACTTTCCAAACAAGAGCGTTCCTGTTCCTCAGCTCACATTTAATGGCCTTGGAGGTCCTTTCCTTCCCTTTTCCAGAGCTGTTCCCACCCCAGGAGGCTGTGATGGGTTCCCAGCCTCTCTTCTAAGGGAACCATGGAGTCATTAAGGTTGGGCAAGACCTTTAAGACCATCAAGTCCAGCTGCTGACCAGCACCACCACCGTGGTCACCACCAGCCCATGCCCTCAAGTGCCCCATCCACACATTTTTTGGAGACTTCCAGGGATGGTGACTCCAGGGCAGCCTGTGCCAGGGCTGGACAACCCTTTCCATGAAAAAAACTTTCCCCAATATCCAACCTAAACCTCACCTGGGCACAATTACAGGTCTTGTCCTGTCACTCCTCACCCGGGAGAACCTCCAAGGTCTCCAAAGTCCCACCGCAGGGGCAGGATCAGCACCTCAGCTTTGCCCAAAGCCAAGGCTCTGGCCAGGTAAATACAAGTTCTGGAGAACTTTCAAGTTCCCAGTTTTTAGAGGAGGTGAATAAAGTGCTTTGTACTTTTATGAGTCACTGATCTGGGTCCCGTGCAGAGCAGTTAAAGGACTATTTTTAAGCACTCAATGACTGGCACAGGCTCTGTGGACATCATCAGGGTCAGGACTGGAAAACAAGGACTGGCCTCAGACCTTCCCAGCAGTGCAGACAGGTCCTGTGGGTACCTGCCACACTGCAATCTGCTATCAGCATTCCAAGGCTTCCTGGCAAGGGGCAGCCCAAACACCAGGCTCGATATTCAGAATGCTTTAGGATATTTGGGATATTTGACCATGAAAACCCAAATCCCATCCTGTGTGTCACAGCTTGGGGACAGGGCCACTCTCAATGAATCCCTGCAGATTCCAAGGAACCCAAGAGCAGAAACTCGTGGTGGTACCACAGAAGGTGGGCGATGTACAAAATACCCTGATGCACTTGTTCCTGTCCTTTATTCCACGTTGTCCCAGGCCACCAGCCACAGGACAGGAGGACACAGCCTCAGGCTGTGCCAGGGGAGGCTCAGGTTGGACAGCAGCAGGAATTTCCTCACAGGAAAGCTCGCTAACATTGGCAGGGGCTGCCCAGGGAGGTTTGGAGTTCCCATCCCCGGAGGTGTCCAAGGAAGGCCTGGAGGTGGCACTCAGAGCTCTGGGCTGGGGATCAGACTCGAGTTGGACTCGATGACCCTGGAGGGCTTTTCCAACCTAAATGATCTCATGACCCTGTGTGAGGAGCCACATCCAAGGCGAGCAGAGCCCACCCACAGCACTCAGGGCCGCGCCAGGAGGGTGTGACCCCCCAGGTCAGCGACAGCTGGCACCAAGGACAGCGCCTTCAGCCGGGCAGGG